AATTCCAAAAAAACACTTTCTTGTTTCAGCTTGCAGCTTGCTTCTAATTTCAACAATTATACTGCAAAAACAAAACTAAACCCATATGACTATTACATAATCACATTCCAAAGTCCAAATAGTCCCTAAATCAAACAGCCCAAATAACTTATAAATAGTCCGAATTATACAGTCGTTTATTATTCATGTAATAGGAAACACATAACTAATATCAAATAGAATACAAGCATTCTATAGTTTGAACAATAAATCCTCTGGCCATTTCATTTCGGCTTCAATGAGCATACACCAAGATGATTCAAAGTAGTGTACCTGGAATCGAGAATAGCATAAGAAGAAGAAGAAGATGAAAGGCAGGTCAGCAGCAGCAGTAGTATACAATACAGCAACACCACAGCAAAGAACAGAGCAACAACCAGCAGAAATACACCCAGCACAAGCAGTCCAAAACCCAGGAGTGAAACCAGAAAATACTAAGCAATTCACAGACAGGAACAGAATGTATTCAGAAATGAGACAGGAGAGTAGATTTTCTGATTTCTGTTCTTCAGATTTTCAAATAAAGACACTCAAAACCTCAATTAAATAGTAACAAACTGATTCTGATTTTCAGTAGTAAAGAAGACCTCACTTTTTAGTATTTAGCTCTCAACCTATTGAACTCTTTAGGGTAAAAACTCAGCTTGTATTTCACTCTTAAACTCTGAATTTCTGATGTCAAAATCCAGCCTAGACTATCTAAAAAAAACTGAAAGAGAACTGATTTTTCTTCTCCAAAAAAACCAGCCCCTTTTCTGTTTTGAATGACCCTATTTATAACCAAACTTCAACCCCTTTCCAGCTCTAAGGAGCACTTAGCTAATTAGGAAAGTATTTCCCCCCACTACTACATGTTTTGTTCTCCTTTTAATTCATTTGTTCCCCACTAGAGTATGTTTTTTCCCATTATCCCTTCTCCTTCCTTTTATTTAAATTCAAATATGTATGGGCACCTATTTCTTAATCTATTTCCTTTCAACCTTCCCCCCACCATTATGTTTTGTTCCCCATTAGCATTTAAACAATTCATTAGTTTAATGGTACTTTAGTACCCTACTGTCAGAACATTCAACTTAAACCAATTTCAAACCTTTCAATCCCAAAATACCCTCCTAAAGTCCCTGAAATTACCATTTTATCCCATCAGCTATATCCAATCCTCCTAATCAATTAACCAAACTATAGCAGCTATAACCAATCTTAAGTGAGAAATCCTAACAATTGACTAATCAAATCATATGAGACTAACTCCCAATTGACAACACTTAGGAATCAGTTCATCATGGTCAGATTCATATCAACATTCAAGATCAGATTCATATCAGAACAACATTAAGATTCATCAAACTCAAATCACAACTTAAGCTTGAAACTCAATTCAGACCAAATATCATCAAAATAAAGATTCAGTGATTAAACTAACACACTTCTAGATTAAACCTAAACAAGAACAAATGAACACTGTCAACATACTGAATGAAAACAAACCGACTTATATGAAAAAAACATGGTGAATAACAATGAGAAAGGGAAATTGGACAAATTTGAAACAAATGATACCAATAGGCTTATTTCAACACAAAATTAGAACAGAAAATAAACAGGAGGGTAAACCTACTGGAATGAACCAAAAATTAAACTATTATCATGCTAATCTAACATTCAAGCATACCAGACTAATCGACGACACCTATTCAATCGATTACACAAATTATAACATATAACAATCGACAACAAACAGAAGCAATGATAAGATTGGACCAAATAAAAGGTCTAACTGGAGAAAGAAAAGAGTAATCGGTAAAAGACGAATTTGAACTCATCTTAACAAACAAACAACGAAACATGAAAAACAAACAGGGAAACAGAAGAAATACCTCCGAACTCAGAAGCTGGACGACCCTGACTTGGACTCTGACTCGGACCTTTAATTGAGGTCGAACGGACCTTAATCGAGTATTCTCAACTGAGAACACTTCGACTAAGGTCCACCTAACTTCCTTTAATTTGGATAGATTTCAACCTTTGGTTTTCTAGGGTTCTTGGGGGTTCGATTTGGGGTTTAAACGGTTCTGGTCTGATTCGAACCAAACCAATGGTAGTTTGGTGATGAGGGAGGTCAGAGAGATATCCGGTATGCGTTTGGGACTGGTTGGCGTAGGTTTAGGTTCTGCTCGAATCTTCGATTGAAGATTCGAGAAGCTGGAGGTTGATTCGAGGCAAACGGTTAGCAGATTTGTAACAAGGGTGGTCAGATAGATTAGGGGTGTTAATTTGGTGACCGGCGGCGTTGTTGCCGCCGGGTTTCAAACGGAGGTGTAACAATGGAGGCTAGGGTTTGGGTCTGGTCCGTCTCTGAGCTTGAGGGAGACGATGGGGTGAGGGGGGGTTTGGTTTGGGGCGTGGGGTAAGGGATTAGGGTTATATACAGAGGGGGTGGTTTAATCTTGGCCGTTGGATCAAGCACGATCAATGGCCTGGATCAATTCACTTAAAGGAAACGGTGACATTTGGTCATGCATCGAGACTGGGTCGACCCGGGTTGAAATGGACCGGGTTATGGGGGAAGGCTGGGACCGTTAGAACATTGGGAACGGACGGCTAGGATCAACTTGCCTAAAACGGCGTCGTTTCAAATAATGCTGGGTTGAAATGAGTCGTCTGATGGAAACAAATCAACGGCTTAGATCTGAGGCGCCGAAACGGCGTCGTTTGGACTGTCTGAGAGACCAGGCCTATTGGATTGGATCGTTTGATATGATTTGGGCCTGATTTTGCATTGAAATTGGCCCAGTTTCGATTTGGCCCAATTTCACTCTTTTCTTTTTTCCTTTCATTTTCTTTTAATTCCTTAAAACCAAAATTCCTAAATTAAATTGTAAAACCAAGATTATTTTAAAAAGATATTAATTAACCCTTAACAATAATTAACACACAAGATGAAATATTGATTAAAATAAAATCACACAATTAAACAATAAAAATGACAAAGCTACCAAAAATTCATATTTTTGTGATTTTCATTCTTTAAAATAGGACATGGTTTAATTAATTCAAAAATGCATAATTAAATCCTAAATATGCACGCAACGGGTATTTTGATATTTTTCAATTAATTAAAACAAGGTAAACATTCAGAGACAAAAATAATTATCCAAAATGTCACGCAAAATTCTCAAAATTGTACCCAAAGGCAATTTGTTTTATTTTTTGATTTCTTTTGGAGTAGTTTTCGTGAAGCATAAATCACGTGCTCACAGTGGAAATTGGGGGTTTGGGTAGAATTAGGAATTTTTGTAAAATTGGAATTTAGACCTCAAATTGAAGTCAGATTTTGAAATAAATTACATAATCGGGATCGAGGGTGAATGGATAAATGGGTCTTGGTCCGAATTTTGGATTTGTACCAAGCGGGCGCGGGAGTTAACTTTTGTTGACTTTTTCAATAATGACCTAAATTGAATCTTTTGCAATCGTGGGTAGTTCATAAGGCTTATTTTGAATCGTTTGGTTGATAATTTTTTAGATTTGGTTGGTTCAGAGGCTTGTTTGAAAGGCAAAGTTATGGTTGAGTTTTGAGTTGATTTTTGAAGTAAGGTAATTGTCTTGGTTAATGTTGACTTGAGAGATTACGACTTGTTTGCCTATTTGCTACTTGTTTAAATGTTGGGTACAATGTATATGTGATGTGACGAGTATTTATGCATTGTTGTTAGGTTAAAGCATTCGGGTGAGACTTGTTTCTTGTAATGTACTCCCTTCTTTAATTATGATATACATGATTAGACTAGTTTATTACTAAATTGATCGTTCTTTCTGCATTTACGACTATTTGTGATAATTGAGTATTGTTTCTTGAAGTTGAGGTAGGTATTGTGGAACTGTCGCTGGCGTAAGGTTTATTCTTGCTTATTCTATCTCCCAAATTGTTATATGTTCATTGTTACATGGTAAGGGAGAGCGTTAAAGCACGAAGGGTGATGTAGTGCCGATTGTTGTTGTAATTATTGATTTATACATAGTGAGGAAGAGAGTTAAAGCACGAAGGGTAATGCCGTGCCGTATTTGAGAGTAAAGCATGAAGGGTGATGTCGTGCCTAATCTATTATTGCATGATAAAATTGAGAGTAAACACATGAAAGATGATGTCATGCTGTATTTTATAATTTACGGAGAGATTGAGAGTTAAAGAATGATGGGTGATGCCATGCCATTATTACTATTTCATGGTGAGGCTGAGAGTAAAATCACGAAGGGTGATGCCGTGCAGCTTTTATTCATTATGTTATCCGTCTCTTTGGTTGAAGGTTTATTTACTGCTTCATGTTACTATTTCTGGTTGTAGTACTGTATCTTGCACCCCCTTTTGCATGTCCCCTCCCAATAGTACATGTTAATTTTTTATTTGTATTATGTTGTACATATATTTTCATCTGTACAGGTTTAATTACGTGAGTGTCCTACCATAGCCTTGTCACTACCTCGTCGAGGTTAGGCTCGACATTTACGGAGTACATTGGGTCGGTTGTATTCATATTACACTTTGCACTTCTTGTGCAGATTTTGGTACTGGTCCCAGCAGTCCGTGAGGCGCATCAGCTCGGATTAGCACATTCGGAGACTCGAGGTAGATCTACTAACGTCTGCAGACCTTGAAGTCCCCTTCCAATTTCCCTATTACTGTTCTTTTCATTCGAGACAGTTGTACTTATTTTAAATACTATTTGTAGAAACTCTAAAAGCTCGTGCACTCATGACTCCAGATCCGGGTTGTACTTAGATATTATTGATTATTATGTCAATTCGTACTTTGTTTAAGTTTTATTTGGTTTAATTGGTTTGACTTATTGAATTGATTAAAATTTGGTAAAGAATTACTTTAATGTTGGCTTGCCTAGCAAGTGAAATGGTAGGCGTCATCATGATCCCGAAGGTGGAAGTTCCGGATCGTGACAAGTTGGTATCAGAGCACTAGGTTGTCTAGGTCTCACAAATGACGAGCAGGCTTAGTAGAGTCTGGGGGATCGGTATGGAGACGTATGTACCTACCTTCCAGAGGCTATGAAGTTTAGGAACAAATTTCACTTCTATTCTTCTCTATCGTGCGATTTTATTCTCTCATTGATAATTGAACTCTTCTACTCTCATTCTCTAAACACGTGCTGGATAGCAGCCGGAGCCCCCACTGGCAGCTCCTACAAGAGGCAGAAGATGAGGCCGAGGTCGCACCAGAGGATGAGGCCGAGGTCGCGCCAAAGGCCGAGGCAGAGGCAGAGCTCGATCCAGTACTCGAGCAAATAGGAGATAATTTTTTTAAAAGGGTATTTATTTATAATAAATAAGGTATCAACCTTTGCTATAGGAGGTAAAATTTCCTTCTAAATTAGCTAAGTAGCCCGATTTGGACCAAATGTCCAGACCAGTTAATCAACATGGCTTCTCAACATAATTTGAAAATGTCAGAAATAAACCATTAATTACAGACTTTCTTAAACATTAATACATGAATACTTCGAACTAAAACACTATGTTACTGAAAAGAACAAAGAAAATTATTTCAAATCTTCACTCATATTAACAGACAAGTCTATGAACCCAAGCACCTTCTATTTTTTATTTTTTATTTTCTTGAACAATATTACAACAAATGAACCTTGAATGCTAAACTCATCATCACTACACGCCTTTGATTTTAAATTAAACCCATGAGTCACAGTCGCACCCTTATGTGTGTACAGAAGTAGTGGTGATGGACCTATTCCAATCAAGATTTCACAAGCTCATATTAATACTTGACTAACAAAGACTTTATATCAAGATGAGGAGTCAGTTAGTAGCAATTAACCCAGATAACGAGTAAATATAGCTTAGATTTTAAGCTTGAGTAAACCAACAGAATCAGACACTTACTAAGAAAACAAAGATGAACCAAGTTTAAACCCACAAGTATCAGGAAGACATAGAACTAGGCATACACAAGATGTCAACACATTAACTCTGTATTTCTACATTCACAAGAGTTACAGGAAAGAAATTTACATACCTACTAGCAAGAGACAATCAACAAAAGGCCAAAATGAAACTGGAGAGAGTAAGTTCAACAAAAACAGAAACAGCAGCAGCAAGCAAAACAGTAGAGAATAACTCCAGAATCAAACTTTAAGCTTCAGCCCCAAAATTATCTCAAAGAAAATCAGAAATTGATGAAGAAGACCAGAACTTCTTAGAGATATCTAGGGATTTTGTGTGTGTACTATCTTCTAAGAGTGTAGGAATTGAAAAAGGAAATGCAGAGATTTTTTTTAGTGAGTATTCAGAGAATTAGTGTGAAAGTCCATCCCTAAAATGGGTGTGTGAGTTGAGCCTTATATAGAGTGTGAGTGTTCTAAGGGATAAGAATGAGAGGTACCAGGGAATCTGCCAGCATGCCCTTAAAATCAGGAAACAAGCATCTTTCAAAATAGAAAAAAGGGACAATTGTCCAATTTTCATCATCTTTTATCAACAGTTTTGGATAACTGGTGCTTTTCTAGAAACTTCCTAAACAAATACCAAAGAATTCCTATTTTTTGCCTTCCAATTAAACCCCCTCAAGTTCTATTTACTACAAGTAAATACCCCAAAGAATTACACAGATTGTAACTAAAAATGATAGGCAAAAACAGCCATCCATTTGACAAATTAATTAAACATATGCAATTAGACTAATTAGCATGAAATTAAACTACTAATTCAGCTACACTAATTAACACTAAACCAAATGGATAAATTATTTGCAATTGCAGGCCACCCTAATAAACAAAACAAAAAAAAATAAAAATGAAGACATGATAGAATGGGGTGAGGATATACCTATTGAAAGAGAAACAAAGCCATGAAAGCCTTTTTCGATGAAGCTCGGCCAGCCAGTGGTGAGTTGGCCGGAGTCCGGTGACTTCGAAATTGGTCAAAACTAATGCAAATGATTGATTAAAGTGAGTCTCAACCCAAAACGAACAAAATACCCCAAGTAATTTGACAAAGGTCAAACTAGGATTTTTCTGGAAATTTACATCTAAAATTCACTAATTTTGGTGGGGTTTCTGATGGAATTGAAAGGAAATATGAGATAAGAGGAGTGTGGTGGTTGTCTGGTGAGAAAATGGGGTTGTTTGGAGTGGCGGCGGCCGCCGAAAACCGAAACAAAATGGGGCTGTTTGGAGTGGCGTCCGCCGCCGTGAGCGATTTTCGGCGGTGGCCAGCGGCGATGGTTTAGAGGGGTAAAAGAGAGGTGAAAGAGACGGAGTAAGGGGGGTCTTTGGGGTTAGGGGTGTTTCAGACACTTTTAAGGGAATTAAAGCCTAGTTCCTGGTTGTTTGATGGAGGAAAATGAACGACCATGATTGACCATCACCAAAATGGAGTCGTTTTATTAATTAGGGGTGCTGGACCGGGTTAAAGGTTCTGACTGGGGCGGATTGGGAGAGAATTGGGTCATGGAAATCAGGCCCAAATGTTTTGAAACAGCCCTTTTTCTTTTCTTTGCTTTTTTTTTTCTTTATCTTTAAATCCTATAGAATTAATTAAAAATCTAAACTAAATTCTAAATAAAACCTAATATGTAGAATTAAATTATTTATCTATTTCTAATATTAAAATAATTAATTAACTTAAAACTAATGAAAGAAAAATACTAATTTTAAAACTAGAAGCTAAATATGTAAAAATGGCTAATTTTTTTAATTTTTGTTTAATAATGCAATTAGCTCATGTATTTAAATTCTAAATGCAATTAAGACCTAAAATCCTATGCAATGAATATTGGTATATTTTTGGGTATTTTTCTATGATTTAAAAATGTTAAAAATGCATGAAAAATGCGACTAACTACAAATAATTACCAAAAATTCCTAAAAATCTATTAAAAAAATTAAAAACAATTAAGAAAAAAATCTATTTATTGATTTTGTGGAAGAATTTTTTGGTGAGGCAAAAATTACGTGCTCACAGTCGTTATAAGCTAAATCAATCTCCCTAAAACAGCGCAATCTTCATAGATTCAATCCATCCTTTCTTTTTTTAGTGGTATCCTTACTAAAATATCTTTTAGTGGTATCTTTACAAATAGATTTATATATTGAAATTATATAATTACATTAAATACAGTTAAATACATTGAATACACGAAGTATAGCAGGTCATTTATAGTGCAAAAACATATGAATGCATATTGCAGATACATTTGAATACATATATACATTTGAATACATAAACTATATTAATTAAAAAAACATATGAATACATTCATGAAATACAGTGAGACAGTGAATACAATGAAACACATGGAATACAGCTAGATACCATGAAATACAATGAAAAAAAGACAGTGAATACAAATGAAATACATGGAATACAGTGAGATACATTGAAATACAATGAAAAAAAAGGTAACAAACTTTTCAAGGCAAAGTAGCTACTAATTTTCACTACTTCTGAGTTCATTCTCTCTTGGCTTTTGTGTGAATCTTGATATTCCTCGTAAGGTAGTTGGATTATGTGGCAATGCCGTCATTTTTTAAGATGAAATTGTAGGTTGTGGTCATTAAACTGTCGTCGCAGCCGTTGTTTTCGGTGGTGCAATCTAACAGTTGTTGTTCGGAGAGTGAAATCAAGTTGTCTACTGAGAGTTTGTACCGGAGGAGGGGGTTGGGGCGACACAAAAAGGAAGAGGGAAGTGGTCGCCGGTCGAATCTGTCGTTGGCGGAACACAATCCCTGCTAGGGTTTCTAAAAGCAGGGGAGGAAAAACCTGGGGAAAAAGAGAAGAAAGAGAAAGGAGGAGAGAGTCTAGGGAGAGGGAGAGAGAAAAATAATATACAGCGTATTTAATGGCTTAAAGGTAGGAATTGGCCATAAATAGAAATTTTGCTATAAAAATTAATAGGTAGCTATAGGAGATAATTTTTTTAAAAGGGTATTTATTTATAATAAATAAGGTATCAACCTTTGCTATAGGATGTAAAATTTCCTTTTAAATTAGCTAAGTAGCCCCATTTGGACCAAATGTCCAGACCAGTTAATCAACATGGCTTCTCAACATAATTTGAAAATGTCAGAAATAAAACATTAATTACAGACTTTCTTAAACACTAATACATGAATACTTCGAACTAAAACACTACGTTACTGAAAAGAACAAAGAAAATTATTTCAAATCTTCACTCATATTAACAGACAAGTCTATGAACCCAAGCACCTTCTATTTTTTATTTTTTATTTTCTTGAACAATATTACAACAAATGAACCTTGAATGCTAAACTCATCATCACTACACGCCTTTGATTTCAAATTAAACCCATGAGTCACAGTCGCACCCTTATGTGTGTACAGAAGTAGTGGTGATGGACCTATTCCAATCAAGATTTCACAAGCTCATATTAATACTTAACTAACAAAGACTTTATATCAAGATGAGTAGTCAGTTAGTAGCAATTAACCCAGATAACGAGTAAATATAGCTTAGATTTTAAGCTTGAGTAAACCAACAGAATCAGACACTTACTAAGAAAACAAAGATGAACCAAGTTTAAACCCACAAGTATCAGGAAGACATAGAACTAGGCATACACAAGATGTCAACACATTAACTCTGTATTTCTACATTCACAAGAGTTACAGGAAAGAAATTTACATACCTACTAGCAAGAGACAATCAACAAAAGGCCCAAATGAAACTGGAGAGAGTAAGTTCAACAAAAACAGAAACAGCAGCAGCAAGCAAAACAGTAGAGAATAACTCCAGAATCAAACTTTAAGGTTCAACCCCAAAATTATCTCAAAGAAAATCAGAAATTGATGAAGAAGACCAGAATTTTTTAGAGATATCTAGGGATTTTGTGTGTGTACTATCTTCTAAGAGTGTAGGAATTGAAAAAGGAAATGCAGAGATTTTTTTTAGTGAGTATTCAGAGAATTAGTGTGAAAGTCCATCCCTAAAATGGGTGTGTGAGTTGAGCCTTATATAGAGTGTGAGTGTGCTAAGGGATAAGAATGAGAGGTACCAGGGAATCTACCAGCATGCCCTTAAAATCAGGAAACAAGCATCTTTCAAAACAGAAAAAATGGGCAGTTGTCCAATTTTCATCATCTTTTATCAACAGTTTTGGATAGCTGGTGCTTTTCTAGAAACTTCCTAAACAAATACCAAAGAATTCCTATTTTTTGCCTTCCAATTAAACCCCCTCAAGTTCTATTTACTACAAGTAAACACCCCAAAGAATTACACAGATTGTGACTAAAAATGATAGGCAAAAACAGCCATCCATTTGACAAATTAATTAAACATATGCAATTAGACTAATTAGCATGAAATTGAACTACTAATTCAGCTACACTAATTAACACTAAACCAAATGGACAAATTATTTGCAATTGCAGGCCACCCTAACAAACAAAACAAAAAAAAACAAAAATGAAGACATGATAGAATGGGGTAAGGATATACCTATTGAAAGAGAGACAAAGCCATGAAACCCTTTTTCGATGAAGCTCGGCCAGTCAGTGGTGAGTTGGCCGGAGTCCGGTGACTTCGAAATTGGTCAAAACTAACGCAAATGATTGATTAAAGTGAGTCTCGACCCAAAACGAACAAAATACCCCAAGTAATTTGACAAAGGTCAAACTAGGATTTTTCTGGAAATTTACATCTAAAATTCACTAATTTTGGTGGGGTTTCTGATGGAATTGAAAGGAAATATGAGATAAGAGGAGTGTGGTGGTTGTCTGGTGAGAAAATGGGGTTGTTTGGAGTGGCGGCGGCCGCCGAAAACCGAGACAAAATGGGGCTGTTTGGAGTGGCGTCCGCCGCCGTGAGCGATTTTCGGCGGTGGCCAGCGGCGATGGTTTAGAGGGGTAAAAGAGAGGTGAAAGAGACGGAGTAAGGGGGGTCTTTGGGGTTAGGGGTGTTTCAGACACTTTTAAGGGAATTAAAGCCTAGTTCCTGGTTGTTTGATGGAGGAAAATGAACGACCATGATTGACCATCGCCAAAATGGAGTCGTTTTATTAATTAGGGGTGCTGGACCGGGTTAAAGGTTCTGACTGGGGCGAATTGGGAGAGAATTGGGCCATGGAAATCAGGCCCAAATGTTTTGAAACAGCCCTTTTTCTTTTCTTTGCTTTTTTTTTTTCTTTATCTTTAAATCCTATAGAATTAATTAAAAATCTAAACTAAATTCTAAATAAAACCTAATATGTAGAATTAAATTATTTATCTATTTCTAATATTAAAATAATTAATTAACTTAAAACTAATGAAAGAAAAAATACTAATTTTAAAACTAGAAGCTAAATATGTAAAAATGGCTAATTTTTTTAATTTTTGTTTAATAATGCAATTAGCTCATGTATTTAAATTCTAAATGCAATTAAGACCTAAAATCCTATGCAATGAATATTTGGGATATTTTTGGGTATTTTTCTATAATTTAAAAATGTTAAAAATGCATGAAAAATGCGACTAACTACAAATAATTACCAAAAATTCCTAAAAATCTATTAAAAAAATTAAAAACAATTAAGAAAAAAATCTATTTATTGATTTTGTGGAAGAATTTTTTGGTGAGGCAAAAATTACGTGCTCACAGTCGTTATAAGCTAAATCAATCTCCCTAAAATAAGCTTTCCAGTTTGATATGTCGTAGAGAATCCAAATTGTAATCATAATTACACATGTTTGGAAAATGATTTACCAGAGATGTGTTACTGTGGAATCTGTGGAAAAACAACACAACTACACCTCTATTCTCAAACTTTGTAATCAAATAAATAAGGAGGGAAAGGAGGAAGTGGTAATGACATTGGGGGTGCATTCTTGTGTCCGTCTTCTAACTTAGGAGATGCTCAGCTGCTCAACTTTTTCAATAATGTCCTCACGCCACAAGTGCACAAGTATACGATGTATAAAAGAGATGATCAACATCTAACACAGACAGCATATACGTCTACTGAAGAATTCTTTCTTTTTCTTTTTGCAATTTGAAGAGATATAGCAATCACTGGACTTATATCCATTACAGGATATTAGGCAAACTCTGAGCTCTATGACTTCTCTAACTTAGCGAGCATGCGTATCACCAAAAATGTCGACTCTAGAGTAAATGTTATGCAGTCATTACTACAATTGTTTTACTACTGGAGTATCCATTTCCATGCTACATCTGAACCTTCATCAAACTGCCTATTTAGACAGCCCTCCATCTCCACATGATGGTGAGTCAAGTCACTAAGAAGTTGACAGCAGAAAATGAAGATAAAGTACTAAAATAAGCTATGCAGAAACTATGGTAAGAAACATAGTCCCCAAACTACGCTTCAGTGAAAAACCAAGAATCAGGCAAACAGACTTAACATTAATATGCAGGATGCATGAAAGCCAACCCAAGAGAAAGCTGAGAATAAATTGATTGAAGCAACTTTTACATTTAAAAAAAAAGATCGACTTTTAAATAATCGAGAAATCCCCAATTTCCAATGGTGCACGGTTAGAAACTCGACGGATAATGAGCCCACTCATCTACCCTTCTCATCCAATTAAATAACAAGCTTTTGTCTATAGCAGGTTCGTGGCATGCAAGTAACCTACAGATCACATGTTGCGTTTTTACTACTAAACCAAAGTTCTGGGACTTATGCAAAAAAAAAAAAAAAAAAAGGAGACTCACATCACCAAATCCTTGTCGACAAACCTACCAACTCACACTATGTTTCGATGAATAGTACAGCTTTCCATTGCTTCATGGAAAGGCATTTTACAGTGAGATTTCTTATTGGAAGGTGCAGAGATCAACAAAACTTTTAGTCCTTGCTTTCAAAACTATAGAGATGTAGAACAAGAACTACAAAAAAGGTAGACATGTGTCCTAAGTTGGCTTAAGCATCTTGGACAAAAATAGAGATGTTATAGTATGACATAGATGAACCAAGAATCATCAAAGTAGAATGCACGCTTGCCTCTTATACAAGTATAATTTTGTGGATGAGCTCAGTTGGTATTACCTTTTCCTGATGGACAGACTAGGAACACTTTTTATTATTACACGCCCTGACTTGGTACAGTGTCCGGCATCAACAATGATATCAATAACTACAACGCCTCAATCCCTATCATATAAATATATCCCCAAAAAAGGATGATGGAAAAAAAAAAGTACAAGTGGAGACGGGTCAAAGAGAGGAAGCCTAGTGACGTTCAGGTACATTCTTCTGTCTGTCTGCTAGCTTAAGGGAATGCTCTACCGCTGCACTTTTTCAATGATGTCCTCTATCCGAGTCGATCGACAAGTAAACAGTGTATAAAAGAACCATTTTACATCTAACAGAGACAGCTATGTCAATAGGAAGACTTGTTTCTTTTTCGTTTTCATATCTGAACTGGACTGAAATCCATTAATACATGATATTAAGGAAAACAAAGAGCTCTATGACTTCTCTAGCTTAGCAAGCTTACTGGCATTTGGTGTCGCTCTGAAAGATGATCTACTTCGGCATAAAAAGAATGGGGATAAGCACTGTCACTACAAAAATCATTTTACTACTGGAGTATCCAGTATCATTCTACATCAGAACTTTCTTCAACTGCCTATTTAGACAGCTGTCAATCTCCGTATGACAGTAAGTCAAGTCGCTAAGAAGTTCAAAGCAGAAAACCAAGATAAAGAACTAAAATTTCTAATATAAGAATTATTGTTACAAACATAGTCGCCAAACTCTGCTTCAGAGGGGAAAAAACCTAAGAATCAGACACATGCTTAAACGACAAAATCTGTTGCCTGTCAAAAGTAAATAAATAACAAATCTGTTTGGATGTAGGGACTGGAAGCCTATAAGAGAAAGCTGAGAATAAATTGGCTGGATGGAAGAAGCAGCGTTCACGTTAGCAAATGAGACATACGCTCACCAAATCCCTGTTGACGAACCTGCCAACTCATGCTATGTGTCTATTAATCGTACAACTCGCGTTACTTCATGGAAAGACATTTACAGTGGGATTTCTTAAGGGAAGGTGTAGAGATGAACAAAAGTTAATCATTGCTTTCAACACTACCATGGGATGGCCAACGCCAAACCTCGAGCTTTTCTCGGTAAAGTGGCTATTGCAATTCAATCATGAAAAAGGTTCCTTCTTTCTTTTTCTTTCACAAACTAGAAATCCCTGAGATGCCTATCGGTCCATAATTTGAAACCAGTGACGAACTTGTGACGTGCGCCTAACCCTTACAGTTCTCCTACTGTTGAATCAAAGCCGACATTTGTGAAGAGTCCATTTATAGGATGGTGCTCAGAAAAAAAATAACAGACTAGGCTGCTCTTGAAACTTGAAAGAAAGCAGGAAGGAACTGGGAAGACTTCTTGAATCAGTATTCATTGTGTTTGGAGGGGTGAATAAAATTAGATTCTGGGAGGACTGATAAAAAAATAAAAAGATTCTAGGAGAATGGCCAGTGTGATGCTCGTATCTTAAAATTTTCTTACCTGAGATATTTAACACTGCCTTAACTAATATTTTAGTACCTATTATAAATCAATTTTGGCATAAATAGATAGGAAAACTAACTTAAAGGGCCTCAACTTTCTTTCATTTTCTCCAAACAAAATAGCTTCTCCGTAATACTTGGAGTTTTCTGCTGCATTTTGCAATACATTCTTGTTAGCAATTAATTTAATTAAGAAATTATGCAGCTTGTTCATTTTACTTGGTGTCCAAAAATGTATCCGTATAATATATATGGTTATTTCATGCACAACCATGATGGCAAATTATATGGAACCAAGACAACTGGCCATAAGCTATGTGAGATAGACATAGACTTAAATGGACTAAAGTCATATGAAGATAATCAGAGTCTAACATCCTAAGGATCTCGAGCAAAATCTAGGTGTGATTTACCAAATTGTCTCTAAGCAAAATTATCAACAAGATTTCGCATGACTACGTCTCGAGTGTAACCTTCAGCATGCTATCCCATTTGAGTAGATGTTTTCGATGACATGAATTACCTTTGAAGTTTTGGTATCAATGAAAAACATCTAAACACCTTTGTTGGAATTTTTTGAGGTTTCCGAGCAATAACTAATTGATGCACCTACAAATTGTTTATATCTTGGAGTTTTGCAGAACTTATGATCTCTTCTATCTTTGTCTCGTTCCAATAGATCATACCGTAATGTGGACACGCATGTATCTCTTTGTATTCAAGCTCTAAATATTTAAAAAAATTCTTTGCAACATTAAAGGAATTGGAAAATGTTTCACCTTCAGAAAATCTTTTAGCAACTCTAGCAACATGGAAAATAAATTGTTGCTCTGCCCATTGAGACACTTTAAATGTAATAAACGGGCAAGGAAAGAAAGTAACAAATATTTGCTTCCCAATTATAAATCATGCTTAGCTTCTTTCATTAAGTTAAGAAATTCTTCATTCTTCTTATCAAACCTCCTTCTATGTTGATCTGACCGACCAAATCTATCATCAGTACTGTCCATATCAACAAAGTCTCTTGTAGGACGAACTCAAAAAATATCATGTAACAAGTCTTATATTTCATCGCCCCTATCCGATTGATTAACGGACATTGATGAAGACGATATATCGCCATGAAAAATCCAAGTATTGTAACTAGCTAGAAATCCATCAACCTCAATGTGTTCAATAATCAAATCTTTTGGAACAAATTTCATATTACGACACTTTCGGCATGGACACAAGGTTTTTGATGCATCAAGCCTATCTAATGAAGCAAAATGAAGAAAATCTTTGGCTCCGTTCTAGTATAAAGAATCATTCTTATTCAATATGTTTATCCTATTCTTATATATATATATATATGAGAGAGAAGGGGGGGTTGATAGAAAAGTATGCCATTCATCAACTAAAAACATTGATAAAATAAATATACATAGGCATAATATTCAGAAATTAGAAAGGATAAATCAAAACATGTGCATATTTACATAATACTTTACTAATGAATAAAGAGATATTGTCCATAATAATGATTTTAAAAAAAATATCCAGATTCAATTTCTTTTTCTGAAGTTAATCTCGCGAACCAAATTTTTTTAACATTTTATGGTGGCTAAGCAAAATCAAACTACTAAACACCCAAAAAATAAAATAATCTAACAAGGATAGAGTAGTATTTTGAGTAAATCCAACTTTTACGGAACTAATATCAAATTAATATTTGATTTAACTTAATTTAGATCTATTTTAGAATGCAAACAAATATAAAGAGCCTAATTAACTAGGAAACAAGAAACCTCGAAAATACTTTTAGAACACAAAAATACTTTTCTGAATCCTACATAACAAAGAATTAGCTCTCCATATTATTAAACGAAATAGGAAGTAGATACGAACCTGCAAAAGCCTCACAAAGATTCTTGAACCCTATATCAATGTTATTCAAGTAGTGTTGCTTCCATTTCATGTATTCTTCAAACTGCAAATAAATGGCGAACTATCGACTGATAGATAGAAGTACAGAGATTCACGTGAAATTACATAATGTACGAACATGGTATAAGAAGTACTTTAAGAATAAATCAAGAGCCAACGCCAAATCTTAATAACAATCTCTACATATCTGTAATGTTATTGGTTCCAAATCTCTTCAATCAGTAAGGATCTCAATTAGAGGAATAGTATCACTCGCCTTAGGCACAGGCCAAGCTTGATAAAATACTACTCCCTCTGTTCCAGTTTATGTGAACGTATTTCCTTTTTGGTATGTTCCAAAAAGAATGACCCCTTTCTAAATTTGGTAACAATTCAACTTAAACTTACAATTTTACCCTTAATGAGAAGCTTTTATAATCACACAAATACTCTGGGTCCCTTTTTGACTTGTTTAGGACCACAAATTTCAAAAGTTTTCATTTTTTCTTAAACTTCGTGCCCAATCAAACAAGTTCACATGAATTGGAACGGAGGGAGTAAGAATTATCGGTAGTTTGAATTTTTTAATTAGTAAAGAAAGCTATAATTTTAGGAAATTCAAAGGAAGGAAGCCCTAAAACCTTTAAAGCAAAAAAGAAAAATTCGAATCTCCAAACTAGTCCAAAGCTCTCCATATTCTTTGATAGCCTTAATTTGTAGAGAGCGAATGCATTACGGAGCCAGAGTCACCAATTTTGAAAAATACGACGGGATTTGAGAAAAGATGGAGTAAATTAGTGAAATACCTGCATCAAAGGTTTCTATTTGGTTTTGGTATTCAATCGGGGGTCTTGGTGCTTCTACGAATTGGGTGTCTTTTGCTGGCAATATCTTGGCTAATCATTTTTTTTATAAGGTAATAAATTTCAATAAAAGGGGCAAAATAGATGCTCGTATATAAGGAGTATACCAAAAAGTAAAAAACCTTACAAGAGAACATGGTTTTCTACGAATGATACCCAATCTTCTATACAAATAAGAACTTCATGGGTGCACCCAAAAATAAATAAGGGAAAAGAGGCTACTCCTCGAGCGTACAAGATCTTTCTCTACTCCATCAAAAGCTCTCATATTCCTCTCACTCCAAACAAACCCACATGAGTGCTAGAGTGGCCTTTGAAGGTTCTAGTTTTCTAGACTTTTTGGTCTTATGCTTTGTGTGTATTGCTTTTACAAGAGTAATCACTTATTCTAATTGTACAAACAACATTAACTTACCTAAATAGGTTATTTTAACCTCTTATTTTGTTCCGAACTCTTTTGTTGATTATAAAATTTATGCATCCAGTAGTTTTTCTATTCTAGTGCTAAATATTAAGAATGATTTAACAATTAAAAAAATCTAACATTACTTGTAAATGTTGGTAATTGTTTTCGACATTCTGCATCAAACACCCTTTTTACAGCATTTTTATAGGTGTCATTATATTCTTTTCTTTCCAGCATTTATTTCAAATGTCATGTCACTAAATAAATGCCGTTGTATCATCACTTTCTTGTAGTGATAGTTGTACAAGTCAAGCTGCACGACACAGAACTTGGTAATTAGGTCTGGGTATAGCATATGCAATGGAAGCGTCAGCTCTGGTTTAAAACAAATATGATCTATCGTTGATGAATATTAAATCTACAGAGAGAGAGAGAGATACCATCATCACAATATACTTCAGCAATACAAAAAAATGATCATTGACTTACGGGGCAGCCAAATTTGATAGCTCCGCCACTTTAACCTTTGGTGACCAAGATAACCTAAGAACGTAATCAAATATTTTAGCCACATGTCAAATGGTTTTTATTATAAGGTCAAACATCACAACAATAACTGCCTTCTTATAGTAAATAACATGCCAGAGGAACCCTACCTCAGTTTAACTTTAACATCACCAGTTCCAAAATAGTGTACCAGCTGAACTATTTAAGAAAATTGTAATGACCAAAGTTATCAGTATTTGCCAGGTAAAATAACTAAACCATCAGCAGCCACCCTTGCCAACTCTGGAAGAGTCTTGTTAGATATCTTGGAGATCATTAATCCACTGCATCCAACACTATGACAAGAGAGAACGACTTTGAAATTTGAAAGGTAGGGAAGTAGAAACTTGATATTTGCTACTAGCAAAATCCCTTTGTGAACAAGAGCCTTGCAGTTGCTATCAGTTTCATCTAAACCATATGGTTCAAAGCCCCAAGGTTCAGTATCCTCTTCTTTTAATAGTTTAGACACCACTGAACAAGACTCAGGGCCTACATGCAACATTTTCCGCAGACTGTATGCTTTCTTCAGTACAGATAAACAATGCCCTTTGAAGCTCAGCTGTGCTTCAAACACGACCTAATAACGTGTTCTTGTAGAAGGGCATTCACTGAACCAGGGAACTTGGCCAGAGAGTTTGTCCAGGCTTTGGTGTTTTTACTGCAAATGCAGAAGTACAAAGGTGTGGAAAAACTGTCTCTAGGTGTCAATTTTAGTGCCAATAGACAAGGAGGGACAGAGAACCTTTTTCAAGGGATTGATGCACATCCACAGGTTCAATGCTTGGTTTTGCCGGACTCTTCTTTTGTGGACAAATGGGAGTTTCATTAATGGCTAATATGATTTATTTTAACTATTTAAATACATTGCAGATTGTACAGATTCACTCTGAATTTTGGACCAACAATGTATTCCTAGTCCTATCCACATTCTGTGACTTTTAGTACAGGGAGGGCACAACATTGGAGCCAATAGCAATAGATNAGTACAGGGAGGACACAACATTGGAGCCAATAGCAATAGATCAAAAATATTTACTGATTTCAAGAAAAACAACTCCATAAGCCAAGATCCAAATAAGTATGGTGCAAACATAAGTTTCTGCAACTGAACAACACTTCTACTGATGACAAATAGAGTTGATTGTTTAATCACCACAATTTCTTCGAAAAGTTCTCAGGCAGTGCAGTGAATGAATCACCCTTTGCATATAAGGTCCAAGATAATCACAGCCATGAAACAACACTTCTACATTTATATGTAGAAAGCAACAAATGTGACAGATTGCTTATAATGATTCCCAGGACAAAATGTTCCAGAATTTCTCTCACAAACAAGAGAAGGTGCAGATGTTAAGACCCAGAAAACAAAACATTTTATTTGGACCACATACATCAGATATCAAAATGTTTTGTCCCATTACATAAAGAGAACGATTGAGAAGATTTAAACACAAGAATTCCTCAAAAGAACAGATCACCTAGATTACATTCTAGTACATTCAAAGAAAGCTGCAAATACTTTGACATCTCATACCATGTCGAGAAGATAGAAAGCAAAAAACACAATTTTGAAACCATCAAATAAAAAATCTTTGATGCTTAATAGCATGTGTAAACTCCACTTGAATACCTGTGATCAACCTCATAAAAATCGGTTTTTCCCTCTATAGCTGGCTGGAGAGAAATGCCAGACAAAGATCTAGGGGATGAAAACTTTACGTAACCAAAAAGCACTAGCTCTTCCCCACCATCATCATCATTAATATCTACAGGGAACCTCGCCCTCAGCTTACCAGGATGACCCTTGAGTGGGATCTCATCAACATGCCATTTCAGTTCTCTCTCAGACCGGTTCAATACAGCTTTGGGTGTAACTTTCAGTAATGTGGGGTCTACTGGCAATTTCAGGACAAAGGTTATATTGGTTAATGGAACTGGAAGATCAGGATTTGCAACGTACTGCAGCATTACAGAAAGTAATGTCCCACTAAGACGCTTAACAAGTCGAATCCTCAAAGGCAATGGAGTTAAACGCGGCAGCAAACTGTACTTAATAATAGGTATAGGCTCATTTGAAGGTGCTGTCTTCACATGAAACAAACCATTCCCAAGGCTGCTCACATGAGAGTTTTGCATAACAAACCTCTTAACACCAGCTGTGCCTTCAACCTTGAAGGAAAACTCAGTTTCCTTATCATCAGAAGACTTCGGGGGCAGTGTTCTTAAGAAAACAACGCCCATCAACCCAACCCTAGCAAGCAACGATTCTCTGAACTCCGCACTGATCTCCTCGGTGATGAACATTTCTGGACCATTCATT